TACCGCCTATAATATATACCGGTGTAACTTATGCTTTTCATCCCACATAACGGGACAATACATAAAGTTGCAACATAGAGAAGCAACGACGACGGCTCCATTTTTTTATATCACCAAACGCGGCAACTCTCGCCGCATCTACGCCGGGCGGGGGCGGAGCTCCGCATCCAACCACGTGGGCATTTCCAACGAGAGCTGCGTCTCGGAGTTTCTACAATAGGAAAACGCAGCAGGAAGTACAGTTGTGACAGAATATATTCACCCAGCTGCAAGTATATAGGTACTGTGATATATTAAAGTATGGAGCGCGATAGCCAGGCATTTGATCTGGTTAAATACTTTCTAGTGTTTACCAACACTAGACTCAATTTATCCTTGTCCTGGGCATTTTCATCTGCATTCGTGACTAAACAAGACCCTAATGCCGACGTAATGTTGACCTAGGGTCCGGTGGGCAAAGAGAACTAGGGAGTGCCGACTATGTGCGCATCTCACCAGGTTCACGATGCTACACGTGAATAGCATAAGCCATTTTTTCTCATCAACTATTTATTGAAGAGTATTTCATCGTTAACCAATTGAGCGCTTGGGGACAGCCTCATATATATATATATATATATATAGCTCATGCTAAAAAGGCAAACCGGAAAGCTACAGCAAAAGGGGTGTTTAATTTCTATAATTAATTACAGTTACTTTAGCTAAATTAATAGGTAAAGTATATATTAAAGCTTATACCGCCTATAATATATACCGGTGTAACTTATACTTTTCATCCCACATAACGGGACAATACATAAAGTTGCAACATAGAGAAGCAACGACGACGGCTCCATTTTTTTATATCACCAAACGCGGCAACTCTCGCCGCATCTACGCCGGGCGGGGGCGGAGCTCCGCATCCAACCACGTGGGCATTTCCAACGAGAGCTGCGTCTCGGAGTTTCTACAATAGGAAAACGCAGCAGGAAGTACAGTTGTGACAGAATATATTCACCCAGCTGCAAGTATATAGGTACTGTGATATATTAAAGTATGGAGCGCGATAGCCAGGCATTTGATCTGGTTAAATACTTTCTAGTGTTTACCAACACTAGACTCAATTTATCCTTGTCCTGGGCATTTTCATCTGCATTCGTGACTAAACAAGACCCTAATGCCGACGTAATGTTGACCTAGGGTCCGGTGGGCAAAGAGAACTAGGGAGTGCCGACTATGTGCGCATCTCACCAGGTTCACGATGCTACACGTGAATAGCATAAGCCATTTTTTCTCATCAACTATTTATTGAAGAGTATTTCATCGTTAACCAATTGAGCGCTTGGGGACAGCCTCATATATATATATATATATATATATCTCATGCTAAAAAGGCAAAACGGAAAGCTACAGCCAGCCCCAGTTAATTGCCAACGTGCCGTTCTCAGTCCACGTAGGCCACCAGTTTAAGCCGGTGCGCTTTCCCTAGTAATCTATCCTGTGCATGCAGGCTCTACTTTTGCAAACCAGCTCGTCTGGAAGTGCTCTGCGGATCCAAGTATGGCCTCTCGCCGAGTCCCACGGCCCGGTTGCCAAACCGCTCCCCTTGACCGTCGTAGTCGAACGTGGCGGTGTGGAACACGCTGCGGTTATCCCAGATGGCTGGGAAATTGTTAGTGAGCCCTTGGTCATGGTCTATATCAGGCAATACACATACCGATATCATTCGGGTTCTGCCACTTGAACCGGACCTGCAAGTCGTGGTTATGGTACACCAGGTCCAGGAACCACTTGAGCAGGTGCTGGCTCTCCTCGTCGGTCACGCCATTGATGTGCGACACGTGTCCGCCGACTGGGAAAATGCTCTTCCACCCCGTCACCGGGTTGGTCCGCACAACGGGGTGAATGGCCTTGAGCACGCGGCCGACGTTCTCCGGGGCGCCGCGGGGCTTGTCGTAAATCTGGAAGCCTTGACTCTCGGCAATGGCACCGAAGCCGGGCTGCTCAAAGGTCACAGTGAGGGTCTCGAGGAACTTTTGGTAGGGCTCGCTGATCTTGTCGTAGATTTCGTATCCAGACGCCCAGAGCGTGTCTAACCCCGGCCCCAATTCGGCACGTCAGCTTTTGTATTTGGACCGCAATGGAAGGGAGGGCTTGTCATCTTACCACCGCCGGTCTTGGGAAGCTGCACGAGACGCAACGAGGTGTAGTCGGCAGGAACTGGCTCAAACGCAATGTCGCTGTGCCACTGGGCCGTCGTTTGCTTCTTTGGGCTCAGCTCCTCGGCCCCAGTTGTCTTGTAGTACTGTTTATGCTGGACGGAGCTGATGGTGCTAATCTCGGGGTCGCTGCCACCGAGCTCACGCTCAGAATTGAGAATGGGGTGAATGTGCAGGCCGGACGTCTCCGGTCGTCCAGTCAGCTTGCCGAGCCTGAGGATCAATTCCTTCTGCAGATCATTGGTGAGGTTATCTTGCGCCCGGAAGAAGACGACTCCCCGCTCCGAGACTTTGAGCCAGGGCCGGTGTTAGCAACAAGACATCGTGGGTGTGCCATGTGGCGTCTTGGGGACGTACTGGTCACGGCGAGGTCCCGAAGGAGTTCGTCTGAGTTCGGGGCATTGAGCCATTCGACCAGGTTAGCCTTTGGGAACTCGCGGCCAATGATGGGTGTGACGTCAAAGGACTCGAAGCTGTCTAGGTTGCCCTTGGAGCGAATGGGCTTTGCCGAGGAGATTGATTTGGTTTGGACGGGCAGCTGGACCGCTGGCTCAATGGTTGCCGGAGCCATCTTGTGGGTTGATTTCTCAGGGATGATTTTCTTAAAGTGACCAGCTGGAAATGCGCAAAATTGTTGTTCGGATCGTCGAGTACTTGGCCGACCTGCGGTGTCCTTTATATATTTCCCACTCGATGAGTGCAAACAACATACTCTGCTTTCAACAAACATGAGCTAGGACATATCACGCATACAACTACAAAAATGACCTGCATAACATTCCCCTCAAATTTCCCCAGTTGTATCGCATCTTCGCCGCGCTACAACAGCAGTTCGTGATGAAGCCCCCATTATGCGACATTTGCTAGCAATCACGCCATCTCCTCAACACCACCTCCCCAAACGTATGCGACGGCAGTTGTGGGCTCGACGTCAAGCAGAAGAATGGTTTCAAATATGATAGAAGGTTATTAATTGCCAATAAAACACGCCCTGCTCGGTTCTTCAAAGTTTCTTTTTACCATAATACCCTGGTCGAGTGTATTTGCTCACCAGGCATGTCCAATGGTAATAAGATGCAGCCCATGCGCCAACACTATATGCCCTCCGCTCTCGAGTTGGAAACGAACGCTAGTGGAATTGGCTCTTATCATCAATATATGACGTTTATCTGAAAATCCGGATATTGCATCATGACCCCATACCACGGGATGCCAACGGCACCGTTTCGGCAGATCGGTATGATGCCATTCCCGATGATGAATGTTCAACTGCGGGCATGGAAGTCGCTTTATCTGATGGGCTACTATAGTAGATTAGTGTAATACTTCTTGGTGCGCAAACCTACCCTGCCACAGATTGTCACTCTTTGAACCCCGGTTCTTCACGTGGCGGTCTCCCTTGTATATGGCGTCGATGTTCCGTGAGGATGTAATGTCGTCATGTCGGCTCGGAATGTCGCGGCAGGACGCAATGTTGAAGCACACCCAATCAGCAGCATTGCATATGATATAGACGCTGCCATCGCGAGATGCAGAGTTGATGTCCCAGGCGCCGGATTAGCGAAAACTCGGAAATGGAGCGCAAGCATGATAAAATAAAGTATAAACAATTATGCGTATTTGGAAACGATACTTTGAGACGTATGACCCCGGACGTACGTAGACGCCGAGTTGGAAAACAGCGCCCATCGCTTGATTCTCTAGACTGCCCCCGTTCCCTTGCCCGTGTTCACGCCTCCGGTATTCAAAATTTCTACCGTAGCCAGTAGATTTGGAGCCGTCAAGGCAACGCCCAGCACTTGGACTGCGTCTTTCAGCAGCAATGTCGCGCCGTGGACGGAGAAGAAATCATTCTTCAAACGGGGGAGCTCTTCAGCCAAAGATACCGTTGCGACACAAGTGAGCAACCGGGACGTCCTCTTGCGCATCAGAATTTCAAACTAATAAAAATAGCCAGTATCCAACAAGCTCTGACTGATGAATTTCTGCCTGATCTGCACAGAACACCAAGAGTATGTACTTGCCACAGTCTCCATGGAGACGAGTTGCCTGAAATACTAATGTCCCAGATGTCAATCTGGGCACAATCGTCTTGCGCGGGTACGCGGTCTAATGTACGCCCATAGCCTGATGACGTTGGTCGTGGGCATCTGCATCTCGTCGCAGGGTTTGATGCCAAGCAGGCCGTGCCAGACGGCGAATTGGTTTTGGGGGAGGAGCGGCTGGTTCAATGAAAAGCAAACGAATCCGCACAGGTTTCCTGGTCTTTGTTTGAGATACGCTGACTGCAGTGACAAGGAGGGGCGCGGGATGCCAAATGGGGTGCCATGAGCGAGGGAGCAGAAGCTGGAGTATCTCGCCACGGCAAAGGATCAGGACAACGAAGAGGCTTAACTTCCGGTTCGACCATTGATCTTGGTTCCTGGGTAGGATCATTTATCCAGAGCCAAGGACCTTTATTAGCCGCAGTGAGTGATTTTGGCAGAAAGCATCCAAATACGTCCATGCCGCTCTTTCCTAGTATGGAAACTCCAAGGCGCCGCTCCGGTTAGAAATGCCATCATTGTCGTAGAGACGCAGATTCTGCTCCTTCTTCATTCTGCACGGGCGAAACGTTTGAGCCGCGCAAACAAATCAATATCCCATCCCAGAGCCATATTTCACGCATTCCTATCATCTTTTAACATAGCCGTGCCATATTTCTCGCCTCAAAGCGGGCATTGAAAGCCATCACCCCTGCCGCAACTTCACGACAAGGCCTCCGCATCACGACTTCATGCCGCGCCCGCAAGACACTACGCAATGGCAACGATCCAAATCATTTCCGATCTTCACTTGGAAGAACACGAGGACTACGACCGTTTCAAAATTGAGCCAAGGACAAAATATCTCGCATTACTAGGCGACATTGGCAACGTCGACCTGCAACGGAACAAATGCCTCGGGTTTCTGCGCGAGCAACTCTGCAAGTTCCGCATTGTCTTCTTTGTTCCCGGAGTCGAAGAAGTATACGGCTCAAGCTGGGGGAAGGTTACTGAGATCCTCGAGGAATTTGAACAGCAAACCAGACAAGACGGCACCCTCTTTGGCGAATTCGTCTTGTTGAACAAGAGAGCGTTCCAGATTCCGAAAACAAGTACATTCATCCTGGGTTGCAGTTTATTCTCCAGCGTCCAGTATAGGAGCGATGGTCATCCGAGGGAGGGCTTGAATCAACCTTCGAGAATCAAGTACTGGAACACCAGTGACCATCATAGGGCGCATGTGAGCGACCTGGAGTGGCTCAATGAGATGGTGGCCTCGGTGGCGGAAGAGTCGGGCCACGATTCTGGGTTCAAGATTGCAATCTTTACTCACTGGAGCCCATCGAGGGACGAGAGGGCGGTTGATCAGCTGTTTGAGGACGAGTCGTATAAGTGCGGGTTCTCGACGGACTTGTCCCAGGAGGAGTGTTATTTGAACAGAGGCGTGGTCTTGTGGGCGTTTGGCCATACGCACTACAACTGCGACTTTTTCGCAGACAGGAGGCCAGATGCGCTCGGAGTCGTGCCGCCGATTCGCATTTTGACAAATCAGCGAGGATACAGTGTCGAACCGGCCGTGGGGTTCGACGGGGACAAGACGGTTGAGATCTGAGCCGGCTAGGCAAGAACCCAGCGTGAAGCTTATGGTATTCTCTTCCTATATGTGTTTCCAGCCGGCGCTGTGACTAGGCAAAGGCTGGAAATGTGCGAGGCTGAATGTTTTCAAACATGTACACGGCATAGCTAGCATATCAAAGCGTCCAAAGACGGGTGTCCAGCGTACTGATAGATGGATATCATTGAATTTTTGTCTAAACCAAGCTTTTTATCCCACCATCCACACTAAATATGTAGTGCACTTGCCACACGTAAATACACTAATATGTGGCGGCATTTATGCTTATAACCTAGAGGAAAACGGATAGACGATTTAATTATAACTACTATAAGAAAATAGCTTTACGCTTAAGTTTTTAATTTAATAAGTTTTACCTTTATAATTAATTTCATTATATTTTATTAACTCATTTAAAAAAAATCAAAAAAACGGGCTAGATGGAGGGCATCTAGTAACACTGTATTTTGGCCGTATCTAGGCCAGGGAACCGTAACTAACCACAAAAGACACCATGAACGCATCGCGATGCGTCAGACACACTAGCCGATTGGGAGCTAGCTAAAAAATGAACACAGCTGGTTTATCCTCATTGCGGAGGTATAAGTTAAGTCATAAGATAAGTAATAGGATGAGTGACATGCATGCTTTCAATGGGCTTTGTCGTCCGTGGGGCGGGATAACTCCCCCCCTGGGTCTGGTTCCGATGACTGGAAATAGCAGCGAGTACCAATATACAGCCGATTTCCCCCTGTAAATGATTAATTGACGATAATATCGGGATAAATTTGAAATACACAGCGCAAGCTATGCCGCACCGAACACACGGGTACCTGTAGCCAATCGACACAACGAAAACGCCGTCCTGCAAAGGAAGAATTGAACCGGGAATGACTAGAAAGCAATAAAGGCCATGTCCACCAAAGCACCGAATCAATATAAAGTTCACGGGCGAAATTCCAATCTTCTTTTTGAACGAAGCAAAGGCCATACCTATGCGACCATCACCGCCTCCCTCTTCACACGCAAAAAACAAACCTCCATGACGCTACAAAGTATGCTAACCCCCTCCGTTTCTCGTAATATCCATCTACATTCGTCACCATGCGTTTCGGTCCCAGTTGGGATCTATTTCGCTCCGGTCAGCTCATGTTCCAAAACTCCCCAACACATGGACAAGACGCATACCTTGCACAAACGCAGCCAGAACCTTACTACCAGTCTGCAGCAACGGATGTCCCACGACAATCTTCAAAAACTTCTCCAGCCCCGCGCGCCGCCCCTCAATCACATCATCGCTAAATCTATTGGTGAACACTTTTCCGGGCAAAGGAGGGATGGTCACGCGCGCACTCTCCCGCTCCAATATGTCGCGGAAGTATTCGAAGTCCGAGTATCGGCGGCGCACGCTGCTCTGGCGCAGCTTGAAGGCGGGGATATTGGTGCGGCAGAGGATCTCGTAGTCTGTGTACATGGACCGGCCGATGCCGTGGGTTCTGGGATTGCGAACCTAGATGCAGGGAAAGGGCAGGGGTTAGTAACCGCCCATTCTGAACGTGATGAATGTAGGAGGGAGCGCCCAGATGGCCAAGATTGTACCTCTATCTCCAGGAAATTCTCGGGCGGGCCATAAATCTCGTCGAAGCTCTGCTGGCGGGTATCCGGCATGGCTTGCATGATGGGCCGGTGTTGCGAAGAGGGACTCTTGGGCGGTGAGTTGGGAGACGCAGAGGACGTGGGCTTATGGTCGGCAGCCCGGCCGGAGTTCTGCTGCCCAGCCAGTTTGGCGGTTTTGGGAGGACGGCGGAAGGAAGGACTGTTGTGAAGAGCTGACGAAGCTGGCTTCGCGCGTGTGCGGTAGCTTCGTCGTTCAGGGCTGAGGGGTTGGGATCGGGCAGGTTGTGAGGATCGCAAATATATTTGCAACTCGGTTGTTGGTCAATGAGGGAGTTGGCTGTGTGGTTTGGCGCATGTGCCGCGAACCGTGGGAAAGTTCTTTGTCGATGAGGAGTCGGATTGCGAGCGCTCAAGTGATTCTAAAGGTGTTCAAGTGGGGTGATGGTGGGTGGACGGAATTCTTGGGCCTGGTGGATGACATGAATGACATGGGTCTTACGTCAAATCCACCCGCCAGTGTGCGTGAGTGAGTTCACCACCATTAATACCACCACCACCACCCACGATCACCTACCGACCTAGGTAAGTAGGTGGTATGCAGTCATCTGGTATGGTGTAGTTTGTAAGTTACGCATTTAAATCAGTGTCTTATAAAGAGGCTATGACCGTGGCCAGACCGCAGCCCTCCCGTCTTGATTACATTCCCAAGTAACGCCGCGCCAACAGTGAACACCTCTTCTCATGCCTGGTATAGTTAATGTACAACATTATCCTGCAATCTGAACCGCACTTTCCGCCGGTATTTTCTCCACGCCAATGTAGTCTCGTCTTTGTATGCTTTTCCCCCCTCCCGTACATAGTTACTGCGCAGTTACTGCACCTAGTTTGGCTGTGCACTAGACACCTTGCCTCTACTTCCTGTCGCCTGCAAATTTCTGGTGAATAGCCCGGATTTGCTCTTCGACATTGATAGTTTGTGGATTCATCGCTTGCGGCTTGCTCTCCTGCTGGGCCTCAGCCGGGTTTAATGCAGCCTTCTTCCTCCTCGCCAACTCTTCTTCCGACAGGGCCTGCCCGGTCGCAGGGTCAAACACATCGTTTCGTTGACTCGCAAGACGCTTGAGGTTCTGGGCAATTTCAGAACCTGTAATAGTCGCCGAGTACCGTGACTCTGCTGCCGCCTTTTGTTCTTTCCATCTGGGATCTAGAAGTTCAACTATAGTTCTGTTAGTTTTGTGCGAGTATAAATCCAAATAGACTTGCACGAATAGTACGTACTCCGCATATGAGCATCGAGCTCATTGATAGGGATCTGCTGTTTACAATTGGGGCAGAGAGCAGTCTGGCCAGCTTGCTTGCCTCGTTGTGCCGCCCGAGGCACATAGTTCTCCCGAATTTTCATTGGCGGCGCACCGCCTCTTGCTTCCGACTGTGCTTGTTGGATGCGGGCTTGGGCGTCAGCTCGTTCCTGAATGCGACGAGCTTCCTCTTCCTCATGAGCAGATCTCTGTGGTTGGTAGCCGTTGGTGTGCGCTTGTACGGCAGGCATCTGGCCTGGTTGAGAATAAGGCTGTGCGGGTTGTTGCGCACCATAACTTGGCTGAGGGGGGGCGGGTGAGGGTGCATATGGTATAACAGCAGGGCCACTCCCGACACTGAATTCTTCACCCGGCATAGCTTCTTCAATACGTAGCATGCTTAATGAGGCTTTATTTCTGTCCTCGAGGGAGGCATACTGGAGTTCGGACAGGTTGGTCGGAGGTGGTAGATTTGCCGTCTCGTCCGCTTCGGTAAAGGTGATAGTCTCAACCACGACAAAGTCGCCCCAGTCGATGCGCGAAAATTCTTCCTTCTTCTTTTCCTCTTCCTCCTCCTTCTTTTGACGTTCCAATTCCTGAAATTTGGCGTAATCAGCTCGTTGCCTAGCCCGAGTCAACACACAATACTTGTCTTTCACGTTGCGCTCCAGCTCGGCGGTTTTTTCTTCCTGAAGCTTGCCGCCCTCGCCGTCAAGCCCTGCAGCTCGTATGAGCGTGGTGTACTGATCAATGAGGTGCTGGAAGAAATTATGAAAAGTGTGGTTTGGGATAAGGAATTGGAACTGCGGGTTGCCAGTCTCTCGCTGGGCCAGTTGGGTCATGAATTGCCGTCCATTCTTGGCGACGAATAGTGCCGTCAGACGAATGACCTCCAAATCCTTCTGGTTAATACGAGGCATGCGCGCAGAGAATTCAAAGTCGGGAGGCTTTGGGGGCCCTTTTGGCTTCTCTGGTTCTGCAGCAGCTTCGCCTGCGCGACCGGCGGCGACATCTGTCCCTCTCCCAGACTTTATTTCGGCTAGTCGCCATTGATAAAAAGCATGGTACGCGTCGGCAGGGTTCAAAAAGCTGAATTTCGGATTTGCTGACTCCTTATCTCGAATGCGATCCTCGAATATGGCCCCATTTCTTGCGACGTAACCAGCAGTCTTTTCCAGAATATTGCGTATTTCGCGTGGAGGAAGGACCACTCCGGAAGGAGGCTTCAACTCATCTAGAGCCGCAGACGACTCGCCATTTGTCGTAGTGACAGCCATATTGTGCCGCAAATGGTGGGATGATTTGAAATTGTCAGAACTGTCGCGAAGCTCTCACGTTTCTGCCAACCACGAAATTTCCCAGGCGTGAGATTCGCCATGGCGGCGTTTCGGATATACATTGATCCGGTAGCCAACCCCAGTCTTGCGCCACAGTGGCTCAGGCTCGGCTGGCAGGATTAGCTTCTCTTCGAGATGCTTGATCTTGGGATATGCTAGTTTCTATCTGCTAAGCCAGTCACTTTTCGGGTCGTCATTGCGCATTCGCCAGGTACGATCCGATTGATAGCATCTGAAAAGCGTTTCCTTCAAGTTTCAATTCAACAGGCTGTTTAGTACGGCGGAAAAAGAATACATGCTCGTATTCAGGACAGCTCTGCCCACATGCGAACAGCCTGCCACGGACCCACCGCGGGCTGAGGGAGCGGACGGGCCAACAGCAGATGCATAAGTTTCTGCATTAGGGCACGGGTTTAGAATCACCAGGCTGAGGACGGACAAGTTCAGCTCTCAATTGTTATCCGGTAAACTCTCCTGGCTGAGCGGATGCTAGTCTGCCAGGGATAAACTGGACACGTCCGCAGATATTGGTGAGAAGAAGATTGCCGCTTTGACGCTAGAGCTGCGATTGCAGGATAGAATCGAGCATGCTCCAGCACCCATACAAAAACAGAGTATGGCTCCGGTCCAATGCAGTCGCGAACCCATCATGGCAGGGCTTGTCTCACTTGTCTCACTTGTTCCCAGCATCGCAAACAGATGGACGGACTGGGATGAGCTTGCCGATCCGGGAACAGCCTACTCG